TCTATTCATGAGTTAAGTTTGAGAGACAAAGTATCTTAGAACATCAACATATGCGTGAACCAATAGGAAGAATCCATTTGGTGCTTCAACAGGTTTGTATGAGACTCATACTCGGATGTAATTCCACTTATTTGCAACGTATATGTATCACCGTGAACCTGCTTTAAGATGCCTAATCCGATAGTGTTGCACTTCATTGCTTCTGACAATGAACATTTTAAAATTGAGTACTAAGGCCTCAATGTCGATGCTTCTGAAACAACATTCCCTTCTTGATTACAGGAGCAACCCTCGCCCAGTAAATTGTTTGGTGAACCGGAAAGACCAATTCCCCTAATCGCGAATGTGTAAGTTCTATGAGTAACATAATATGTAACGTAACGTATAACATACTAGAAGGCATTCTTAATCCTAATTCCATTTACTTTTTAAGCCTTACTTGCTAGCTTAGGCGTCATGTTATTTAAAATGATAGACGCTCTTCATTTGTGCATGGGACACAAGTAGCAAAACCTGAACCATCCTTTCTTTGAACAGGAGCATCACTCGATTATTAAATTCTCGCTCGTCTTTGTGCTATCGGTTCGTGCATTTCACCTCGGTTTCGCAAACTATGAAGTGGTATCTTGTTGATGGCTGTGCTGTCAATAGTTGGAGTTCTTGTAACCGAAGGTTTCTCCCTAAGTGGGAAGTACGTGGTAATTATTTTCATTGGTTTGTAGTGACGACACCTCCCGATTTCACATCTGTCACTTCTCCTGTCTCGTGACACCTCCTCAAAAGGGTCCACCCGTCTCGTTACTAGGCCTCCAAGTGCTCACTGGAACAGTTGACCGAATCGCATTTGTAAAACCGAGGGATGAAGACTCAGTCGACAGTCATGACACCATTTTCGTTTTCTCTTCCCATCCCACCAAGTGAGTCTTTTGCTTACACTCTGATCACCTCCAGATTACTAAATCTAAGTTTTTTATTGGAAACCTTAAGGGGGTTTTGTCGATATTGAAGCTAGTGAATTTCCTATTGTTAAATTTATCTTCAAACATGATTTCAATTTTTCGCTTTTAATTATAGCTTCAGTCCCTTAAATGCTGTGATCTAGGTGAAACGGTCCATGCGAAAAGGGGAAAACGGGAGCGTAATTTTTCGTCAACATCATTGATTCACTTTCCTTGTAGTTATTTTTGAGATTCTATGTAAAGAAAGTTTCGGTGTAACCGATTCCTTCAGAATGTATTTCTCAAAGCTCCCCTAATCTTTGCTATCAAAAGCCGGTAAGAGTACGACATGTCCCCTTGTTGAGGTTTGAAAAGGAGGTACCGTCTGTGCCCTTTGGATGCTGCGTAAGGCGATTGTTTAGGTTTGGGAGCATTCAGGTGGCAGTTTAAAGTGTCATTAGAAACTTAGGCCATTCTCGTTCTCACTCTGTTGTTGTGTTTACGTGGTAGCTCCCCGTCTCCTTAGAAGAACATGGTCAACTTTGGCACTTGGTCCGGAACCATTTATAAATGGCGCAGAAGTTTAGAACGTTCATATGAAGTTATTCCGTAAAAGTAGGGTCGACTGACAGTTAACGTTGTTGGTGTTTCAAAAACAAAACTGAAACTACGGAGACGAACCTTCATGGATAAATGTTTCATTAGCAAGCCCGATGTTTTTAACCACCTCGAGTGTACCACGAGATAGTAAATATTACTATCAGCGGTTTTGTTTTTTTTTTAGCAGTGAATGTGGCTTCAGTATAACTGTGGACGGATTTGTCGGTGACGAAAACCCGTCAAAGATGTATGTTTGCACTATTCTATTCATTGCTTTTATCATGCACTGCCTAAATCCCTACCGATACTTTTGAACCTCTGTCTGTAATGCAGCAGAACACGAAAATTCCTCATTCATTTTATTATAGGAGCTCTTGACAAGTTTTGCATACGACCTTTTGAATAATATTTCATTACTACGTTTTGTTTGATTCCCTTCTCTTGCATCAGGCCGTATCATATTGCGGATTTGAAGTTCTTCGAAATTGATACCCTTGTGGCCTTAATTTACCGCGATGCTGACGCCTCATCCACAGACACGCCTCAGTGGTTCGTCTTCATCCCTCTGGAAGAGGCATTCATCAATGCTCCCGAACTTACCCCATTATCCGTTTCTCTGGCATCCTCTGACCTCACTGATGTGCTACTCAGGTGAGCTGAATAACTGTAGTAGAAAAACTGTTTAAAATACCACCGAGTTACTTATTTTAAGACCGATTTACATTTCCAAAAGTTGTAGTGGTTGAGAATTAC